CTCTCTCTCTCTCTCTCTCTCTCTCTTCTTTTTTAGTTCTTTGTTTTGTTTTTTGTTTTTTTTCTCTCTCTCTCTCTCTCTCTCTCTCTCTCTCTCTCTCTCTCTCTCTCTCTCTCTCTCTCTCTCTCTCTCTCTCTTTCTTTCTCTCTCTCTCTCTCTCTCTCTCTCTCTCTCTCTCTCTCTCTCTCTCTCTCTCTCTCTCTCTCTCTCTCTCTCTCTTTCTCTCTCTCTTTCTCTTTCTCTTTCTCTTTCTATCTCTCTCTAGTGTCAACGCCGCCGAAAAAAAGGACAGGGCAGAACAGGCTCGCAGCTCGGGGGCCTCAGCCGGGGCGAACGGACCACGCGGACAGCCCGCGTCTCGCAGGATCCTCGCCCGCCGCTCGGGCGAGGAAAACTTCATGTAGTGAATGGCTAGCCTACGGGGAGATGACCATCCCTGCGCCGTTAGATTGGCTGGGCGACGCCGCGCGTGGCCCCGCGAGGCTTAGCTTGCAGGGGGGTCAGTTGCACTCGGCGGCCCTTGGCTCGGTCAAAGTGCTTCGGAGAAGTGATGCTGTGAACTTCACCAAGCGCAGCTTCCGGTGCTTGAAACCAAGAAGCCATCGCGGCGCGGGGCTGAAGGCCGTCGAAAGATGGACCTTCCCATGGCCCTGCAAGTCGCATGTCTGCCCCGCTCCTCGTCGCCGCGAGGGGTGGAAAAGAGGCTGGTGCAAATCTCTGCCGAGCTTTGGCTTGTCCCGCCACCTGCTTGAGCCTGAGCTCAACCGCAGAGCGCGGGCCTACAGGCGCGTCTAGCCGAGCCCAACAATTTGCGACATGGCGGTCGAGACACCTGCTGGTAACAGATAAACCCTAATAGTCTTGATTGCGCGTGGCTTCCTTAGGCCGCTAAGTGGAGGCGCCTAAATGCTCTGCCCACCGGGGCGCCCTGAGAGCTTCCGCATCCATGTTCCAGCCACCTCCTATTTTTAGAGGGCACCCAGCCGAGCCCACCAGTTCGTTGATGCGCTCCGGCAGGGAAATGCTGGCCACTGCCACCCCTCGGGCGCCGTGGCCGTAGACCGAGACAAACAAAAAAGGCAGCTCGCGATGAACCATGGCCTTGACGGCCACCGCCCGCTCCGACGCGCGCCGGCGGGCGCGCGCGTGGCCGTCGAACTGTGACCCGACAAGAACTGAGGTGCCTTCCGAGGTTTCTCCTTCCCCAGTTCCCGTGCTAACAGAAACAACGACCCATATCCTCGCAGATGTGCTCATGCTCTCGCCGCTTTGATTTGGGCCTGCACCAGCCTGTGTTCCTGCGCGAGGCAAATGTCGAGCTGCGTCCCTTGGACCTCGCGAGCCCACTCTAGATGTTTCTTGGCCGTCGCCCAGTCATTGGAACTGTAGGCGGCAGCCTTCCATGTTCACCCCAGTGATGCTCTGCAAAGGCATTCCACAACGAACCAATTAGGGATCTCATCATGTCACGAAAGGCGTGCCTGCTCCGTGTGCCATTAGACCAGGCTTCCGTGCACGCTTCCATGGCCGCCTGCTCCAGTTCGCCAGGGCTCTCTCGCCCGTGGCCCCACCTGGGGCGACCGCTGTGCCACCCGGCCATGTCCCGCCTGAGCTGAGCGCGGTCTGAACCCCGCAAACAACGCGTGAGGTGCTCCACGCACCATTGCTGCCAGGAGTCCTGGTCCGCGTGGCCCTCGCCTTCAATGTTCCAGATCCATATAGCACCCCAGCTCGCCATCGCTTCTACAAGCTCCCGCCTGTTTCTGCTTGGGCCAGCCCGCGGGGCCGCCCCCTTCGGCGCCCTTCCCCATCAGTCGCTGCGCTGGCGGGTCCGCGCTATAGGCTCTCATGGGCGCCTCTAGCCAGCTTCGCTCTGGCTGCCGCGACTGCGGCCTGCAGCTCCTCGGCGCTGGGCGCCGCTGCCGCTGCCTGTTGCCGTGCTCCTGGAGCGGCAGGAGATGCTGGGCCCGCTGGGGCCACCCTGCACTGGCACCAGCCCAGCGCTCGCATCGGTAGGTGGAGGAGGAGGAGGAGGAGCAGGAACGCCCCCAAGAGTCGCCGACCCTTCCCCGCTGGAGACGGACGCCGCGTCATCCTTGCGGGCGCGCTTGCAAGCCAAGCGCTGGCGCATCGACCAGGCTTCAGCACGGAACTTCTGGATAATATCCGCGCTTGGCTCGATGGCCGCCGCGATGGCCGTCTGGATATCCTTTGCCATGCTGCCCTTGAGCTCTGGCCACTTGTTCCGCTCGACTTCCTCCACCTCCAGGCCGCCGAGGTCGAGGAGGCGCCGTCGACGATGTCCACCGCGTCGAAGCCGGTCCCATCCCCAAGCAGCTGCGACAGTTCGATTTGCGACCCAGCTGGCACTTGCGTCGCATGTGGCACAGCTGCGCCTGGCGCCGCAGGCTGCAGCTCCACTTTGAGCTCAGCTTGCCACTCCGCCTTGGTCAGCACCGCCGCGTGCGCCGCCGCCGCCGCGTCTTCTTGCTACAGTCCTCCAGCCAGCGCCGCGCCTCGTCCTCTTGCTGCACCGCCTGCTCGAGCGCCTTCTCCGCACTGCGACAGGCAACCCCCTTCGCGCTGATGGTCTCTTCAAACAACGACTGCCGAGGCGCGACCGCCAGCTCGGGTGCCACCGCCTGCGCAAGGGCCTGGAGCTTCTAGGCCCCTGCGTCCTTGCCGACGTGCTGCTGGAGCTGCTCCAGGAGCTCGGCGACCGAGGGAGAGCAGGCTTCGACGGCTTGGGTGCCTCCATGCGGGTTGGCGCCAAAGACCCTGGCGGCTGCGCTGGCTGCCGCTGCCACTGGCCTTCACCGGCTGACGCCGACCACACTCCCTGAGTCTTCAGCCACGGCGGTTGGACCGCTGGGACGAGGGCTGCGCCGCACGAGTAGCACTCGGATCTCGACTTCCAGTTCCAGCGGTAGCGACAGCTCGTGCACGAGAGAAACTGCGTCGTTGCATCCTTGCCCATGGGCCCCGCTAAGAGCTCACGAAAACGCAGACCGTGCCAGTGGGGCACAATGTACTGTATTGGAGTAGCCCTGCACGGGCTTCGTGTGAAAGCCTGGGCGCGGCCCGGGGATCGCTGGTGGGGGCGCACCTACCCCTTTGCCACACCCCAAGTCGCTGAGCCTTCGGCGACGGACTTGAGCCAAAATGGCGTGAGCCAAATGGCTACGGACGGAGGAGGGAGCAGGAGGAGGAGGAGGAGGAGGAGGAGGAGGAGGAGGAGGAGGAGGAGGAGGAGCAGGAGGAGCAGGAGGAGGAGGAGGAGGAGGGTCGATTTCCGCAGGTCGTGGCGGCATCGTGAGGCCCGCACGCCGGCCACGACGTCGGGTTTCCGGGGGCCCGCCAGTGGAGGCCGCAAGCGGTTTCGAGTTGCTGGCATGGAAGAACAACGAGGATAACGACAGGACGCCGTCGCCGTCGTCCTTGTCGTCATCGTCGTCGTCGTCGTCGTCGTCGTTGTCGTCCTCCTCCTCGTCGTCGTCGCCGTTGTGCGCTGTCGCCAAGTTTCAGGTCAGGAGGATAACGACGACAACGACGATGAGAAGGGAGACGACGACAAGGGCGATGACGGCGGCGACTCTCTCGGCGTCCAGCTCGCTACTGTCTCAGTGCCTGGACAAGTGTGGCGAGCTCTGCGCACGCCTCGAGCAGCAGAACAACAACAGGCTTGCTCTGAGTGCCTGCGGAAGGGGAGCGCTGTCCGCAGACTACGCATGCACGACCGATGACGACGACGTGGATGACGAGGACGAAGCAAGACCATCCCTGGCCCGATGGGGTGCCACAGCAACCAAACATTGGGTACACAAGACACCCTCAAACATGGACAAGCAGACCTGGTGTCAGTAGGCGTCAGTAGGCGGCAGGAGGGGAGGAGGAGGAGGAGGAGGAGGAGGAGGAGGAGGAGGAGGAGGAGGAGGGAGGAGGAGGTGGGGGAGGAGGAGGTGGGGGAGGAGGAGGAGGAGGATGAGGAGGAGGAGGAGGAGGAGGAGGAGGAGGAAGAGGAGGAGGAGGCGGAGGAGGAGGAGGACGAGGAGGAGGAGGAGGGGGAGGAGGAGGGGAAAGGGGGAAGGAGGAGGAGGAGGAGGCAACGGAGCAGGAGCAAGAGGAGGAGAGGGACGGCGTCCTCCGATAACCATCCGAGGTTGCTCAGAGCAACTCCGAACGCCTCCGAGCACCCCGACAACCGACGAAGACTCGAGTAGGAGATCGACTGCAGAGTAGATTAGCCAACAAATTTGTGTTCGTCGAATCAACGGACAAAACATACAATGTTCTTAGATCTTCGGACTTTGACAGATTGCTCGTAGATTCCACGACAAAGCAATATTGGGGCACATCAGTTCTGCAATAGATCTCCTACTCGAGAAACGCCCGCCCCGACACAACCCCGACGTAGACGACGATGACGACCGCGACGACGGCGGCCAGTCAAAATCGGTTTCAAATCCGTCCCCGGATCGTGGATAGCTTTCTGTCCCCGATCAATGTCTGACGCCCGAGGGCCCCAGCCAACCGACGAAAAAGCTCTGCTAAACTCCGACGATGACGACCCCAACGACGACGACCAGCCAAAATCGGTTTAGAAACTTCCCTTCGACTCATCACGCGGTCCGAAGGCCCGAAGCAGGCAATGAGAGGCCGAAAACCGCGAACAACCTTCTCGAACATCGCACCCAGGCCCAAGGACGAGGACGACGGTGGCGACGACGTTCTCGGGACCCCCAGAAGTCTCCCGAGGTCTCCACGAAGGTCCCCAAAAACCTCCAAGGCTCCCGGAGGCCCAAACACGTGCTAGACCTCGGTCCTAGTCCTAGCGCCTTAACCCTCGAACTTCGATCATCGGCGCCGTCGCCGTCGCCGTCGCCGTCGCCGTCGCCGTCGCCGTCGCCGTCGTCTTCGTCGTCCTCGTCGTCGTCGTCGTCGTCGTCGTCGGGCCGACGTCGTGACCGCCGTCGGCGGCGGCGGCGGCGCGGGCGGCCGGGCCTGATCGAGGCGCTCGGTGGCGCTGACGAACTGCGAAAAAAGGTCCTCGCCCCGGGGGGGGGGGGGCATCGAGGGGCTCTCTGCTGCAACTCATGGGAACATCCCATACCATCTTGCTGGTTCGTGCGAGCCGACGGCGATCGACGCTACATCGAGGCTGAATCGACGCTGGTTGACGCGAGTCGAAAACAGGTCGGCGCTATCCCATCGACTACCAGACACTGATCGAGAACTGTAAAAACGGGCTTGCGAGGGTATACAAACATCCCATGATTTGCGACCGAACAACATTACCAAAACAAACATCAAACGGCATGAACTATTGTTTCGGAACTCCGCGCGGATTCCCGGATTTCTCGGATCGACGCCGGGCCCCCCCCCCCTAGCGCGCTCAGCGGGCAAGGGGCGGAGCCGGGGGCGCCGCCAGGGGGGCCGAGCGCCAATCCGAGAAATCCGCGCGGAGTTCTTGCCCCACCAGCTTTTGGTTTTACACCATATCTGATTAACGTGGCCCCCTCCGAGCGACTTACCGAAAGACTGCGCAACGTCGAAAATCACTCGTAGATTGGAGGCTCCCGCCAGGATTGCGCTTGCCCGCGCCGGCGACATGCACTGACCAGAGACGCGCGCGGACATCCGCGGGCGCCGACTTCTCGCTCCCATTGCAAACAATCGCAGCGAATACAAGGACAGGGTGTCGGCGGACCACGAGGCCACGAGGCCAGAAAGCCTGGATGAACTCGAAAGTTCATTGATTTCCCTTCGAGCCCTGAAGAGAACGCAGGCGGATCACGGAGCAAGGCTGCGCAACGTCGGCCCGTGCCAGATCAGCTCAGGCTTATCCGACCCATGTGGGGCGCAAGCGGCATTTACCAACATTACTTGACACGCGGCCCAACTCAGTCGGAGAAAACCCAGCACGTCAAGCAAGCGGGGTCGTGAAGATGGCCCCTCATTTGTCCGGCCTGCCACCGTCGGCCGCGCGCGCCAGGTCGCGCATTCGCTGCGGCATCTGCCCGCGCAGGCCATGGACGTCGCGCCGGGCGTTGACCCGCGCGGCCGCCGCCATGAGTCGACCTGCGAGCTTCTCCTCGGTTTCAGTCCACGGCTCCGTCGGCAAAGTAAGCCGCAACCCCTCCGTCATCCACGACGCGGAAGTCTCGCGTGGCCAGGGGGAGAACGAAATCATCACCATGGCGCACACACGACGCATCTCGGTCAACACGGTAGTAGATACCAGGGTTAAAAGCTCCAGCCCTGAAGCCCAGCGCTATAATGGATCTGTCTGCTTCGGTGGCGAAACATTTCCCTGCGTCACGCGCGCCGTACATCGCTGTCGCCAGCTTTGCAATGCCTGCATTGATGCTATCATCTTCCACGGGAGGGATCACGCACAATGGTCTGAGAGCTGGACTGTGGGAGTGTGCCTGGCTGATGCCGCAAAAACCTAAAACTCGTCTCTTGTCACGGGTGATCCCAAGTTGGCCAGGCATCATCAACGACACCATCATCCGAGCAGCTTCCAAAAGGTGGTGTTGCTGCAAAGTTGCGGCCGTGTCTGTTGGTTCCCTTCCGATGGTGGAGCGGCGCTTCGTCTCTTGCGCCACTAGCCGACTTCGGATGTCCACGTGGTCTTGGCCCCCCTTGTTGATGTCCAACCATCTCACGGGCATTGCTTTGCAACCTTCCGCCACCATCTCTTCGCGAATCGCCTCCCTATAGACGCCCAGTTTTCTCATGTACTCGACCTGAGGGCGCCCAGCTTCGGCCGCAAGTTTCGGGTCCAAGACGGCCCCAGTACAATCATCGACAAAAACGTCGTCGCCGCACGTCTCAGACCAATCACGCTCAGGCGGCACCTCCTCTACAGTAGGCCCACCCGCTTCCAAAGGGTCTAGTCTCCCTGCCTCCTTCAATTCCTGCCTCAATCCCCCCAATACTCTCCGTGCGACCTCTCGCGGAGAAGACGATGCGCAATGGCGATTCGCAGGGCCGCCTTCGTGCCCCAAGACTCCCGGATAGTCGCACTATTGCTGCCCCATCCCGTGGGTTTACTTACAAGTCCCCTCAATGCACTGATTCATGTGGGTAATTCTTACACCATTTAGGGACAACACTGCACGCGCGCATGGCAGTGCCCAATTTGACGCACGCCGCGCGCGCTGCATAGAAACAACCTACCATGGCGATGTTGGTGTTCATACAGCTTACAAGCGAACTTGGCGCGTGAAAGATGTTCCTGGAGATCCTCGCGGCGCCCCAGGGACCCAATGAGCAAGCGCGGTTGCTCTGCAACAACATGTTGCCGAGCAAGCTGTCGCTGTTCAGGGCGATCGAAGACCCATCCCGCACGCGCGTCCATCACAAGACCAGCGCACAATCCAAAACGATGCACTTTTGCAGTGGGCCCCCGTTGGCAGAAGACCTCATTCACGTGCACCTGGTCACCTAATTTCCATCATCATCTGCAACGCCTCACTGTGGCAATTTGCCTCCGAACCTAACTCAGCAAGACATTCCCTCTCGCCCCGCTGCCAATATGCGGTCGGCCTCTCCGCCTCCGCGCCCTCGAAAGCGACGAGGCCTAGGAAAAACTCCTGGCCCCCACTCTCCGCGTCGGCTGCCGAGGCTTCAGCAGCGCTTCCTGCTCTGATTTGGGAGCCGGCGCTCTCGCCGCGCCCCGTCTTCACGACCTCAGCTTGTCCTGCGCTGGAGCTGGCACCAGGGCCGCTTCCAGCTACACCGTGGGGAGCGGCGCTCTCGCCGCCCCCTGCCTTCCGCGCCCTAGTTGGGCCCGCGCTGCCAGAGCTGGCACCTTGGCCGCTCCAGGCGCTTTCGGCGGACACATCCATCGGAGCTCGCGCGTCCGGGCTGTCGGCCCCGTCAGCACCTTGAGGCGGATCGCCTTCGTGACCGGGAGCTGGCGCTCTCGCCGCTTCCCTCCGCTCGTTGGCTGCTGCTGCCCCCGTGTCCCCTTCGGCCCCCATTGCCCTCTGAATCCTCCCCCTGCACTCCTCATTGTGATTCCGCGCTGCCTTCTCTCCTCGCTGCGCCGCTCGGCATCCTAGGCAAACCGTCGTAAAACCATACCTCTTCAACTCAATCTCCTTCCCTGCATAAACTTTCCTCGGAGGTGGATCTCCGCCAGCGCGAGGTGGAGGAGGGAGGTCGCGATCTGGGGCAACAGGCCGCGCTGCCAACGGCCTGGCCAGGGGCGCGTGTTCCTGGGATGTCCTCGACAAGCTCGACGGCGCCATCTCCCAAGGCGCCCCAAGACATGACCTAAATAAAATTGGGTCGGAGGCGCCGGCCTTGCTCACCCTTTTCTGCGCTGATGCTCTGGGGGCAACCAGAAGGCGCGGCTACGACGTACTCGTTGCTTTCGTCAACAAGCCCTGGAAAAATACCTTCCCTCCATTTTGGTTTCTCGCCCAGGGGCTTCATCTTTGCGCCCCCCTCTGCGAAGTGGACCTTCTCACCCCAAGGCATCAAAGGCCTAGGGGACTTCATCCTTCCTGTCATTCGCCTCCATCCCGCTTGACCGTCTTTGCCGACGACTGCCCTAGAGATCAATTGTCCAGCGTACTGGACGCACCAAGGTAAGGGCGCAGACCGCTCCTCAAGCGGGATGCCGCGCAACGCCGCCGCACGATGCCAAAGACACAGACTTTTCGTTTTGGTGATGTTGACGGCTGACTCCTGTAGACCTCCTGCCTGTGAATCCCCATGCGGTGTAAGATCAGGAACAACGCGGATGCCGAATTTCCCTACCTCCGCCGCCACTGCTGTCATCGAAGCCTCGATCGGATTCCCCCATCAGATCGCAATCGAATCTCTGGTGCCCTAACAAAGCCAAATGTTCAGTCATCTGTTTGATTGCGCGTTGGTCTGCCGCCTGATTGTGGACGACGTCAGAAAACGTAACCTTGGCACTGCTATCCCTAGCGCCCAGAATTCGAGCAGAGTCCACCGCCGAAACCCCACATGGACCCAGAGCTCTGTCCCGGAAGAAGCAACAATCGCAAGCTACAGGAGAGATGTCGCTACTTTCGCCGCCCCCAGAAGAACGACCGTCTCTCCGCCCACCTGCCGCCACGCAGTGTCGACACTGGACCCGGCACGGGTAGTGATTCACATTGTGGTCTTCCATTTCACGCGCGCATGGCCGTCTAGGCTGTCGTCGCGGCTCGACGGGGGCCCTCTCCCAAAGCGCCTCCTCCTCAAGATCCTCCTCCATCCCTGCGTCCTGATTTGCTTCGCCCTCTGCTCTCTCCTCTGCTTCCTCCTCTGCTACTGGCTGTAGTGCGTGATCGTCGTCGTCATCATCGCCGTCACCAGGGTAATCTCCACCTTCTCCTCCTCCTCCTCCTGTCTTTGCCCTTCAGTCCCCGATGCAGTAGCGCTCGGTTCGAGTACTGCGGGCGCTGGCGCTGCCGCCGCTGCCCGACTGAATTGCGGCACTGCGGGCGCCGGCACCGACGCCGCTGCCCTGTGCTCTCGCGCAAGTGTTTGTGAGGAGAAAAGTGAGGTCTACGGTGGACATTGAGAACTCCACAGAGTCTATTGGGGCTGGCACCGCCGCCGCGCCCAGCTAAAGTGAAATTCGGTTTTGCCACGCGTGGGGCGAAACTGTTTTGGGCCACGTTGGCCCTGGCGGGGCTGGCGCAGTCGCCGCCCCCAGCGCTCTCGCGCGTCTGACATCCAGCCACAGGAGGGCTTGCGGGCCGACGCCCTGCCTCGCGAAAGGTTCCGGCTGCTGCCGCGCCTCCTCCAGCTGGCTCTGCTTCGCGGAGATGCTCGCGGCCCCGTCCGTCGATTTTGCGATCTTTGGGCGGGGCTTCTCCTCCGCGTCCTCCGCCTCCCTGCTCGCCCGCGAGGCAGGCAGGTAGTCCTGCTGCACCTCGTTCGCCACCTCCGGGGCTTCCAGCTCCAGGGCGAGGTCCCAGCCGCCCTCCGCGCGGACGAACTCCCGCTCGCGCCCCGTGGCTTTGTTGCAGGCGAACGGACGGCCCCAGCCGAACGCGACGGTCTGCCCTGCACGGCGC